TGGAGCTGCAGAGGTGCCCAGCTCCCAGGATGAGGGTAGCTGAAACATGATCACGTATTAGGGGCCCCTCCACCCGGAGCCCAGCCTGTAGTGCCTGCGTGTGCATGCTATGTCCCTTCAGTCGTGTCCGACTCTCTGCGACCCCACGGGCTGTAGCCCACCAGGCTCCTCTGTCCATGAGATTCTTCAGGCAAGAATACTAGGAATGGGTTCACTGGATTTAGGGCCCATCCTAAATCCAGGATGGTCTCATCTCAAGATCTCCAATTTGATGACACCTGCAAAGACCCTCTTTTCAAATAAGGTCACATTCGCAGGTGCCACGGTTAGGACACATCTTTAGGGGAATTACTATCAACCCACTAGCAGTGCAGTGAGAGCAAAAATAAGCCATCAGCTGTCCCGACTCCATGGGGCTGAGAAAGATGAAGAGGATGGCCTGCCCAGGGAGGGGAGGAAGTGGGGAGGCTCAGAGATCAGCAGGGACAAAGGGGCCATCAGGCTTCACTCCCTGCTGGAAACCCCATTTACAGAGGAGGAAACAGCCAGGGAGGTTGCAGCACCATGGAGGTCCCACTCGGGACAGACAGCCACGCCTGACCCCGTGGCCCCTGGAGCCTCTCACATCCCCATCCACCTCTCTGGACCTTCTTGGCCCAGCATCCAGGTGTGTGGGGTCCCTTGGGCCGGCCTGGGGGATGAGGCCACCAGTTCTGCCCCCTCAAGGTCACAGAGTCCGGCCCCCCTCCGCCGCCCACCCGAGTGACCACACTGGGGGTCAGAGTTTTCCATGCACCTCCCCCGCCCTCCCCACAAAGCCTGAATGCCTAGAATTCTGCAGGAATTCCCACAGCGGCCCTCCCACCCTGGGTCCCCAGTGAAGGAAATAAAGGCCCTCTGGGGTCTGGGGCTAGAGGGCAGGGAGGCCCAGGGCAGTCTCTGGGAATCCCATTCCTGTAGATTCACTCTTAGACAGGAAAGGACGGAGCCAGAATAAACCCTCATGGGGCCGCCACGGCCAGCTGTCAGCCCACGTCACACGTGCATACGCGCATAGCAGTTGTGTATCCCTCTCCACGCCCTGCTCCACACACACACAGGAACCACAGACATCCCCACACATGTGCCTGACCACACAAGCAGAGGCGCAGGCACGCCCCTCCCGGATGCTGAGATGGGACACAAGAGGATGCCACGTTCCCAGAGGGCATCCATCCTTATGGACAAGGGGAACCCGGGACTGGGAGCACAGGAGCTGGTGTAGCCTGGTGGCTGACCTCAAGTACACCAAGCCTGGGTTCAAAGTCCACCACTGCGACCTCGGGCAAGTCACTCAACCCCTCTAAGTCTGCTTCCTCATCTGATTATTGAGATACTATTCATTCCCAGTGCAAAGGGCTGTTTCTTTGGGGCGGTGGGGGAGGCCACGGTGCTCTGGTGTCCAACCAGGGATTAAACCTGTGGTACCTGCATTGGAAGCATGGAGTCTTAACCACTGGGCCACCAGGAAAGTCCTTCAAAGGGCTATTGGAAAGACTAACTCATGGAACATGTAAGCACTCAGAAACCCATTCTGGGGAAGGACCATACAGATGTCTGCTGATTACAATACGTTGATTCTTTTTTAAATGCACAATGTAAGAGTTGCCAGTTAAGTTTTATTTGGGCCAAAATGAGGACTGCAGCCCGGCAGACAGCAGTTCAGACAGCTCTGAGAGACTGCTCCGAGGAGGCGAAGGGTTGTTGTTCAGTTGCTAAGTTGTGTCTGACTCTTTGCAACCCCATGCACTGCAGCATGCCAGGTCTCCCTGTCCATCACCGACTCCCAGAGCTTGCTCAAATTCGTGTCCATCAAGTCGGTGATGCCATCCAACCATCTCACACTCTGCCACTCCCTTCTCCTCCCACCTTCAATCTTTCCCAGCATCAGGGCATTTTCCAATGAGTCGGCTCTTCACATCAGGTGGACAAAGTATTGGAGCTTCAGCTTCAGCATCAGTCCTCCTAGCGAATATTCAGGATTGATTTCCTTTAGGATTGACTGCTTTCATCTCCTTGCAGTCCAAGGGACTCTCAAGAGTCTTCTCCAGCACCACAGTTCGAAAGCATCAATTCTTTGACACTCAGCCTTCTTTAGAGAGACATACAACCCCAAACAAAACCTCACATGCAAAGACACACAGGCATACAGACTGGTTTCTGTCTGTCTGACCTAACACCTTGCCCTGCCCAGGGTGTGGGATCAGGACTCCCAGCAGTCTGTGGGACTGAGCCCGTACTGTGGGATTTGATACCCAACTCCAAGTTAAGTAGTGTCAGAATCAAATTAAATTATAGGATACCCAATTGGTGTCCAGAGAATTGTAGAACTGGCTGGTGTGGAGGAAAAAATATTTACATATTTGGTATTGGAAGTGTTACAAGTAGATAGTTTTATCTTTATGAGGGTACTGTAAGGATGAAATGAGACAATGCATATAACAAGAGCTCAGGAAGAATTTGCCATGGGGAGCGTTTGCCTTAACATGGTAACAGCAGGATTTATTTGGGTTTTATGAAATAAGAACTTAGTAGCAGTCCTCAAATTCAGAGTACCCACAGACTGAGACAGGAGAAAAATTACGGTTTTGTTTTCACTAGCCTGTAACTGAAATTTAGTGTCTGTCTTCAATTCCTGATGTAGCAACATCCATGGACCTATGACTTCATCACCAAGAAGAGCCACAAATATTTTCATATCCCAAGACTGTCACATGTATATATGACACAGCTGGCTTCTTTTGTAACCTGGCGGGGGGGTGGGGGTTGCATTGGAAAAGACTCTTCTGAATGTTTGTGGATGTGATCAGTCATGTCTGACTCTCTGTGGCCCCATGGGCTATACCCCAACAGTCTCCTCTGTCCATGGAATTTCCCAAGCAAGAATACTGGGGCAAGTTGCCATTTCCTGCTCCAGGGAATCTTCCTGACCCAGGGATTGAACCCACATCTCTTGCGTCTCCTGCATTGGCAGGTGGATCCTTTACCATTACATCACCTGAGAAGACCGATGTTAGGATGTTTGCAAGTTATTTTGAAATTTATTCAAAAAAATGGCTATATAGAGTTATAAATGGATGGAGAGATAGATGAAGAGATGGAGAAAGGGATGAAGGAATGAATGGATCAAGGGATGAATGGATGGATATAACAAAACGTTATCTGGGTGATCAGTATGGGGTATTCTCTGCACCAATCTTTCAACTTTTCTATATGTTCGAATATTTTCACAATAAAATGTTGGGGGAAAGATTTCTAAAAGAGAGAAAAGGATGAACCTGAGAAAGACAAAGACATTCAAAGTCTGAGCAAAGAAAGATACATCTTAAAGCTCATGTTTATCATTGAGTCCTTTTATCAACGTCAAATTATATAGGGAAGAAAATGGACAAAAGAAGTGTAAGGACTTTCCTGGTGCTGGTAGTACGGTGGATAAGAATCCACCTGCCAAAAGAGGGGACACAGGTTTGATCATGGGTCTGGAAGATTCTACATGCTGCGGAGCAACTACGGAGCCTCAACTACTGAGCCCGCACTGCACAGCCTGTGCCCTGCAGCAGGAGAACCCACTGCAAAGAGAAGCCCGAGCAGAGCGTCTAAGAATAGCCCCGGCTCCCCGCAGCTAGAGGAAGGCTGCACGGAGCAACGAAGGCCTAGCGCGGCCATACAGAAAGAGGCGTAAAACGCAGACACACAATGCAAGTCTTCAGTAACTGCATGTAAAGGGGGAAAAGTCACATTTTCCCTAGAAGGAAAGTTCAGTGTCTAGGCTGTATTGCCAATGTGATGCCCACAGGCCGCCTGTGGCACTGAGCGGTTGAAATACGGCTGGTCAGATCCGAGATGTGCTGTAAAATATATACCTGATTTTGAAGACTTCGTATCAGAAAAAAAAGGTGGGGGGGGGAGAGAGAGGATGGAAAATAGCTCTGGAATATTTAAAAATACTGATTACATGTTGAAATGTCAATACTTTGGATATATTGAATTAAATAAAATAGAGCTAAAACTGATTTCCCCTGCTTCTTTTTACTTTTTTAAAAGTGCAGCTACAAGAAAATTAAGAAGACATATGCGACTACATTAGTTATGTTTCTGCTGGTTAAGTCGGAAGTGCCCACTTAGAAAATTCTGACTTTACCAAGACACATGCATTTCTCTTATGCTTCTAGAATTACTTTTTTCTTTCACTGGCCAACTAGACATGGATATACACCAGAAAAAAAAAATTCACTGGCTGACTAGACATGGATATGCCACGAAGGGCGTAATTGTTTCCCTTTGCTTATCTTTGGCAGAGTACCTGCTTTTTCCATTTTTCTTGTGGTTCATACCTCTGGGAAATAATGATGTCAAATTAGTGTTTAAGACATTTGGAAGTAAAATAAAATCTTTATATAATAAAAATATTTTTAGAAGAAATATCAGGTCTTAAGTCAACAGAAATAAATCCAGAAGTAAATGCAATACAAAACATAATTTTGGAAGGGGCTCCTGGACCCCACAAGAGTTCCCAGGAACTGGGGTGTCCCAGCTGGATCCCTGCCCCCCCCTCCTTTGAGAATCACGTGGTTTCTGACCAGGACTTTCCTGTTTCCCATGACTCTGCCCCAATAAGACAGTCAGCAGAAAAACATGAGGCCCCACGTGACCGTCACCTGACCCTTCTGTGTAGGCGGTGGCACCAGCCCTGACTGGGGCAGGCATGAGGTTTGGTCACTCTGGGCCCTGCTCCAGAGTAAAGAGACCTGGAGAGGAGTCTGCCGGAGTAGACAGCAGCTCCGTCCTCCGCCAGAGTGTGGCATCTAGCTACGTCAGGGTCCATGCCCTCTGGACACCTACCCCAAAGGCAGCCCGGGCCGGGGGGTACCCGGGAGGTGGGGCCAGGCTGGCCCACCTGTCACTATCATCAGCAGCTTACTGCGAGGTCCTTGCTGGACTGGCTCTCTCGTACTGCTCACCTCTCCAGGGTTGAGTCCTTCTCGTCCTTGTTAACATATTTTGAGCACGTTCCAGGTGCCGGCACCAGACAAAGCTCATCTCCTTTCATCCCTAGGCGCCCTTCAGGGAGGAGCTGTCATTATGTTTCCTAATTCGATGATAAGACGAAAGGACAGAGAGGTTAAGTGAGTGGTCCAAAGTCACACAGCTCAGGACCCATATGCTCGACAACCACCCTGCGCTGCCTCTTTGATGAAGCGCCAGAAACCCAAGTGCTCCACTTCAATAAACCAGTTCCTACCAGGGAAGGTGCCACACCACTCACCAGCGCTTCTGCCCAGGAGCGCTGCTTCTCCCTCAGGTGCCCCACATCCTCAGGGCGTCACCACCCACCAGTCACCCAGCCAGACGCCCCAGTCTAGCAGCCAGTGCTTCCTCCGCAGTCCTAAGCGTCTCTGACGTCAGCTGCTTTCTCTCCAACCCCTCCCCTCACTACCAACTTGCATCACATGGTGCAAGTCACTTGGCCTCAGTTTCCCCATCTGTAAAATGGGGATAATGATAGGCCTATCTCATAGAATCATTTGAGATCAAAGTGATTTTTTTTTAAATTTTTATTTTTGGCTGCACCAAGGCTTAGCTGTGGCATGTGGGATCTAGTCCTCTGACCAGGGATGGAGCTGGGGCCCCCTGCTTTGGGAGCGAAGAGCCTTAGCCACTGGATCACCGGGGAAGTCCCCAACGTGATTTTTTTAGCTTTAGTTTTTATTTATTTATTTTGGCCACATCGAATGGCTTGTGGGATCTCAGTTCCTGGACCGGGGACTGAACTTGGGCCATGGCAGTGAAAGCCCAAATCTTAACCACTAGGCCACCAGGGAGCTCCCAAAGTGATTTTTTTTTTCATCAACACACACACACACATATATTTTAACATACATGTATCAGGGCGTACCATGGCCCTGGCACACAGTAAGAGCTCAACGCTATTTAACTATCATAATGAGCATCTGCATCCAGGGCCCAGCACAGTGGACAGGACCGCAGATGTCTGGGAGGTCAGAGATGGTTTCCTGGGCGGATTCGATCAGGCCCCTCCCTAGCTGGAGGTCCTGTGGTGCGATCCCCAGGAACCTGAGCATGAAGCACAAACTCCTTGGGCTGTCTCAGGAGCCCCAGCTTTGGTCACCCACCTGCTCCTGCCCGCACCCATCCGTCTCCTTCCCCCGCCCCCGGTCCCAGCAGGGAGTTCTCCCCACTATGGGCCCCTGCAGTTTATCACTTTGTACCTGCTTGTCTGTTGACTGTCCCCCCACTGGAATGGCCCAGCTGTGAGGGCCAGGACCTCACCAGGCGTCCACAGCTGGGTTTCCCGGCAGGTACACCTGGCAGGTGCTTCAACACGCGTTTGTGGAATGACCAAATGCGGGAATCAGTGAAGGAAAAAAATGGATCTCTTCCGGCACTTGTTCTACAGCCTGGGAAACTGAAGGGGAGATGCAGTGACATCACAGGTCAGATACACTGTGGGTGGCGGAGCCAGATTGGGGTTATTACTATGAAATATTTCATGAGGACAAATGGGCCACATGCATGCAGACAGAGCTCTGGATGACTTCCTCTCCGATGTGCCACCAGCCCTGATGACACAGGCGACTGGAGGTTCCACAAATCATTGCCCTTCATCACGACTACAGTCCCCCCTGAGCACTGGGGTAGGGGCCAGCTGAAAGGTCTTTTCATCCAGTGGTGGGATAGGGGGGTCAGGATAGTCCCACTGGGAGGGTACAAGGACCCTCCATGGGATGGGAAATCATATCCTAACGGCTGAGTCATACCCAGGGGGTGGAATGGCGTCACTGACAAGCATGATCCATGACGTCCATCCCAAGCTCATCCCGGCCCGTTGCTCCAGTCCACCGAGCTTGGCTGTATTCACATAGGCTCACGGGGAAGATACTGCTGAGGAGAAAGGAAGAAGCAAGCCTAGAGAGGAGGGACCCAGCTTGGTGTGGGCAGCCTGACCGATGTCCCGCGTGGAGGGAGAGAACCAGGTCTTGATATCCAGGCCCACGAGGCGCCTATTGTCCTGAGTCCTCACCTGCACCCGCATGAAATGGGCAGAACTGTTATCTCCATCTCACCCTCATGAAATGGGCAGAACTGTTATCTTTGAGCAGGGCTCAGAGAGGTTGAGGGCTTTGACCAGGGTCACACAGCCAGCCAGAATTACCCGGGGGCTGGAACTCCTAGGCCTCCCCTGCAGCATTCCAGCTGATCCCAGTCCACACAGCCCACACCAAGAAACACGCCAGCCCACGCCAAGAAACATGTTGCTGCCTTTTTTGTTTTTACAAGAAACTCACAAGCTATGTGCTATTCGCCCCCTTTTACAGAGGAGCAAACTGAGGCTTGTATAAAGGAGACCATTTACCCAGAGTCCACAGCTGGCAGGAGTGGGATTTGAACCCAAGCACCTTCAGGTCCCATGGGCTTCGCTCTCCACCTGCCTGCCTCCTTCATCCTCACCTCCTGGCCTCCACACAGCTGGGCAGGAGCAGGCGGGCTGATCAAGGACATGGGGCTGCAGCCACACCCCTGCCTTCCCAGGCCTCTGGCTCCCCCAGCACCTGTGTACCTGGTCACTCTGTTCTCATGCACGACCCCCCATCCCCAGAAGCCCCTTTGAAAGAGTAATCAGGAGCTGGAATGAAGGACTGAGGCTGAGGGATGGGCAGACGGACAGCCAGCCTGGAGGCAGGCAGGGACACAGCCAAGGGACCCAGACAACCAGGCGAGCGTGAGAAAGCAGGCAACGTTCATATGAAATGCTGATGTCTGATGTGAGCAAGGCAGACAGAGAAATCTGAGTTAACTGTGGACCAGAAGAGAAAGAAAAATGCCTCTTCTCACCAGCTTAACACGGCCCCCTGGAGGCCAAGTGTGTGACCTTTAAAGAAATACTCTGAAAACTGGATCTGGCTCTGCTGAAAGTTTTAGAATCCTTCCCCCTTCCCCCGCACCCAACAGCTTTATGAAGATGTAATTCACATACCCGGGAATTCCCCCCTGGTCCAGTGGTTAACACTCCATGCTTCCACTGCAGGGGGCAGGGCTTTGATCCCTGGTTAGGGAACTAAGATCCCACGATGAGGCCAATTTTTTTTTTAAATTCACATACCATACAGTTTACCCATTTAAAGTATATAGTTCAGGGGTGTTCACTGGTGGACTACTGGTTAGGATTCTGGGATTTCACTGCTGTGGCCTGGGTTCAATCCCTGGTTGGGGAACTGAGATCCCACAAGTCATGTGGCACAGCCAAAAAAAATAAACATACAGTTCAATTTTTTTTTTTTNAAATTGACTGGTTTGATCTCCTTGCAGTCCAAGGGGACCCACTAATCTTTCAGTCTCTACAGATTTGCCTATTTTGGACGTTTCCCATGAATGGTATCTTGTATATTAGGGCCTCTTGTATCTTTAGGATCAGGGTGTCAAGGTTCACCTACATTGTAGCACATATCAGTACTTCAGTTCTTGGGGAGGGGGATAAATTAGGAGTTTAGAATTAACATATACACACCACCATATATAAAATAGATAACCAGCAAGGACCTGAAGGGACAAAATAGGTGATTAATTAGTTAATCCCACTAGGTGACTGTAAGTAGAAAAATATGGGAGACCCCTGTAAAGTTAATGATTACTGGAGAAAACAGGTTTGCTTAACCACAAAACCAAGCAGGCTTGCTTAGCAACAAAACCATGCAACAGAAGCACAAGACAAGCACCCAAAACAATAAAACAATGGTGGCATGAGACCCACATCCTGGGCAGTGAGCTCAGTAATTTAATGATCCCTGGGACATGCTCTCTGCACACACATTAGAAAATAATACTTTGTGGACCCAGCTTGACCATGTAGGGACAAGAAAACTCCTTTGTCTGACATGGAGGAAGAGTTGATGATGGAAGCATGTTTACTTGAGAAAGACAAAGAAGGTCTTCTCCCCCTCCCCACTTTTCCTTTGATTATAAAACTGTAACCCAGTAAGTTCTCAGGGCGCGGCACTTCTTGCCCACCCGCTTGTAAGCCTCGCAAGCTATTCTAATAAATCACTTCTTATCTACCACTTTGCTCTCGCTGAGTTCTTCTCTGCAGTGGGACATAAAGAACTGGGGTACCAGAGCTATTCAGAGCCCCCCTGAAATGACACCGATCAGTTCCAATATCAGTACTTCATTCCTTGGGGAGGGGGATAAATTGGGAGTTTGGGATTAACATATACACACCACTATATATAAAATAGATAACCAACAGGGGTCTACTGTATAGCACTGGGAACTGTACTCAATATTTTGTAATAACCTATAATGCAAAAGAAACTGCAAAAGAACAGACACATATATGTATAGCTGACTCACTTGGCTGTTCACCTGAAACACTGTAAATCAGCTATACTTCAATAAAAAAAATACTTTCTTTTTATGGACTGGTAGCACTTCATGGTACAGATACCCCATATTTTGTTTGTCAACTCATCCAGCTGACAGACATCTGGGTTGGTCCTTCCGTTTGGTATGATGAATAATCCGCTGTGAACATCCCTGTTCAAATTTCTGTGCGTTTCTGCTTCTTTGGGGTCCACACCTAGGAGCAGAAGTGTTGGGTCATATGGGAAAGAACCTTGGGGTCTTCATTCATATTCAGAGATCCCTGATAAACACATGGGCAAGAAACTCTAAGAATAATCCCAGGACTTCTCACACAGGCTTCTTGCATGCCAGACCCTGTTCTATAGTCACTCACCGAAGCTTCACAACAATCGACTCATGAGGTGCTAGTATTATCTCAATGGCACAAAGAAACTGAGGCACAACTCTGGCTGGCTCCTGAGACCCTGCTCTTAACACTAGACCAGAACAAGATTTCTGATGGGTGATAAAATGGTAGACAGAACAGAGCAAGGCCACCTGGAGTCACACCCCGAGGACTTGGGGCTGTGGCTTCCTCTCCCTTCCTGAG